TAGGAATTCTGCACTGTCATATGTAGAAACCATGCCTATAAGAATTCTGTATATCATACAGATATCTTGCTCATAAGAATTCTGCATGAAGAGACCATGTCTTTAAGATTCTGCATTTTCGCATCTATCGTTAGGCAAACAGTTATAGGTCAAATAATAATCAATTGCATCCTAGATATCATGCTCGTAGGATTTCTGCAGTCTTGTTAACGTCTGTAAAAGGTGCCTAAAATCAGTAAACGGCTAGAAAGCATGCCTATAGGAAATATTGATTCTGAACTATCACGCTCGTTTAAGCAATATCAACTGCAAAACCTGTATTACTCTGTTAAAACTGGCAACCTTTTTCTGTAATCAGTTTGCCTCTTTCCTGAAACCAGTAGATACCATGCCTATAGATCTGTTTAACACATAGACAAAAGGTTTAACTAATCAATTGGATCAGTCTTAGACAACTGCATTCGAGTAAGCCTAATGTAGACTTCCTGTCCAAAAATACGTGTTGAACTAGTCCGCTTATCGCTTTAATTTAATTTAAAACTAAACCAGTACGTGCAAGACATGCTAAACTCTATGGCTTTATCTGATTTTAGGAGGCTTATGTGAACCCTACTTGCTTATTTGCTTCCCCCTTTACTTGCATTATGTGTTTTGATTGACGCCTTAGTATTTTGTCCTTTAAAAACTCTCCAAAAGGCCCCAAACCCCTCTCCCATTAGGACTACTTAGTCCAAATGCCTCCGGGTATTGATAGGATTGGGACGGGTACTAGCATGCAATAAGTAACGAGACATTCCGCACTTTAATACATTAATGGGGTGAGAAGGGTAGATATGGATATGATGACCACGCGATAACACCACGTGTATAAACGGTTACCGGGTGTTGTGTGGGGTTATCCATATTATTTATAAACATAGGACCCCTCTCCCTTTATCTGTTTATTTTTATTTCAACAAGTACTTTCTTCTCTAATTTCAACCTCTTTAACTTCGTTTAATTTCAAATTATTTGCAACTATTATATGAAAACCCCCTCGTATTTGTAATTCTTGCTTGTTTACTTGTTGTTTGCATTTAAAGTCACAACTGTAGCATGGCCGGGAACCACACTAGTGGATCTTGAGGGGTGCCCAACACCTTCCCCTCGAGATAATTTGTAGCCCTTACCCGAACTTTGGTTCATCTCAAATTCTTCCTTAAAGTGTCCTAATGCACTATAATCATTAGGTGGCGACTCTTCAATTCCAAAACCCAATTCCCAAACGGGAATAGAGTTGTCTTTTCCAAAAAATGTCGTAAACCCGATTTCTTGGGAAAAAGGGGGCGTCGACATTCGCGAGTGCACAGACACATTCGCGTAAGGTCTGGGTTTTTGTTCATCGCGTTCGCGAGCTCGCTGTCACGTTCGCATAGCACGATTTTGGCAGCTTTCGTTTTTCTTCTTCGCAATCGCGAGTGATGTTCTACGATCGCAATGCATTAATACCTGGGCAGAATATATAGTACTCTATTCCGAGGGTTAGCCATTTTTAACATTTTTGGAGTTCTAGAGCTCGGATTTGAGCTATTTCTTGTGGGGTTTTCAAGCAAATCAATTAGGTATGTGTTCTTCACCTATAATTTATTATATTCCATGATTCTATCTTTAATTTTATCATTAAATTAGTGTTTTGAGTTGAGGAAAAAATGCAGATTTTGAAGAAAACATTCAAAATGTAAAATGATGATTTGAGGGACAAAATGGTATCAGATTTGATAATTTTGGTATGGTTGAACTCGTATCGCAATGTGTGTTCGGATTTTGTGAAATTTATCGGGTTTCGAGGTGCGGGCCTAGGGGTTGACTTTTTGGGTTGATTTTTAGTTTTTGAGAAAGATTGAGGCTTTATTATCTGGAGTAGTTTCTTATGAGTTTTATTTGTTCTTTGAAGTTATTTTGGCTAGATTTGAACTGTCCGGAGGTTATTTCACCCGAGAAGTTTGTCGCGCTCCCTTTTTTCTTGCGAAATCGGGTTCATGACATTTGGGAGGACAACTCATTCCTTTTGGGAATTGGGTTTGATTTAAAGAGTCGCCATCTAATGATTAGGGTGCATTAGGACACCAAGGAGATTTGATTTGAGTAACCAGAGATTGGGTAAGGGCTTGAAATTATTCTAAGGTGAAGGTGTTAGGAACCCCTCAGAATCCACTAGTGTGGTTCCCGGCCAGACTATCATTGTGAATTTGGGTACAAATAGCATATAAACAAACAGGGCTCAAATAAGAGGGGATTTCATCACATAAAGGTTTGAAAGTAAACAAGGTTTGAAAGAATAATTTAAAAAAACTGATTTTTTAAAATAAAGAGTTAAAATGCTGAAAAGAAAGAAATAAAGGGAGAGTGGTCCTGAAGATTTTTATGATATTGATGTAATGAAAACGATCTAGGGTTAAGGCGGAAGTACGAAGCTCTGGGCGAAAATAGGCGATTTTGGGCGATCTAGAGAGAGAAACAGCCTTATGGCTTCGCCGGCCGGCGGCCAGCCATTATTTTCGGCTGGTCATCCCCCTAACACCTCTGCACAACCTCCTACTACAACTACAAACAATCCCCAGCCCTCAAATCCTACAAACGAACCCATGAATTACGCAAAAGCTGCGAATCCTACTTCGATGACCACTGCCATGCAGAATCGTACTGCTTCTGTAGAGCCAATTGCCCTTCGTCAAGCCAAGGTATTTCAAGGACAACCAACGGTGTGCTTTACAGAATCTGAAGTGGAACGTATGAACGTTCTTGAAGGATTACAATATGCAGTTGTGTGCAAATTCTCATACGGATGGCCTGAGCTTAATAAATTACATCGTGTTGTGCTATTCAATATGGAATTAAGGGTGAGTGTCTTATTGGATATATGCGTGATAGGCATGTGTTGATCAGATTTACATTATGGCAAGATTTTGTTAATTTTACGTCAAAAGGTGTCTACTATATCAAGGACAAGCATGGAGAAGAATACCAGTTGAGAACCTTGATATATGATGCTAAGTTTAAGGTGAGAGAGGAGACACCAAAGGTGATGGCTTGGATATCCTTCCCAAATCTGTTGCCAACCTATTTCGTGAAAGAATGCTTGTTCTCATTAGCATCTGCTGTAGGTGAGCCTTTACATCTGGATCAAGCTACTATGAATAAGACTAGACGTAGCTGTGCTCGTGTGAAAGTGTTAGTCGACTTATTAGCTGATCTCCCTAAGAAGGTACGTATGTACATTATTAATGAAGACTTTGGGGATGTAAGAACAGAATGGGTGAATATTCAATATGACTATTTGCCTAAATACTGTAAGGAATGTAAGCTTCAAGGGCATGATATGATGGAATGTTGGAGGTTGCATCCTGAACTTATGGCTAACAAGAGGGAAGAACAGCACGTAGATAACAATGGCAAGGTTGAAGGGAATAAAGACAAAGGGAATAATGCTGCTCCTTTAATGATTCTATCAAGTGGTAATGTCGTGGGAAATGTTGGCCCCCAACGGAAAGAAGTGAGGGATAGACGAGGGCAAGGTAAAGACAAACAAACTGGAGAAGGTGCTAAAACTGGGAAGGAAATTATGCCTGTGATTAAACAAACCGCTGTTGTGCAAACTGATGTTTCGCCTAAGCAGGTGCAGACAACCAATAAGTTTGCCTTGCTGGAGGTTGAAAACAGTGAAGGTAATGAGAACAAGCAATTAGTTGTAGTAGAGAAAGATGCTGAACAAAAGAGTATGGATAACCAAAAGGAAAAAGGGAATCTGAATCCTACTGCACCAGAATTTTTGCCTAGATCACCTGGGAAAAACAAAAAGAAAAATGGGGATAACAAAAATGCAGAAGTAGTCAAACAAAATCTGAAGGCAGCAATCCCAACAGGTAGCTCCAATCCAGCAGGAATCAATAAACAAAGAGAGAGGGAAGAAATGAAAAGCAAGGAGAAAATTGCTTATGAACAATAAGTCAAGGAGTCTACTGCAGAGTGGGTACAAAGGGCCTTTACTGGAAATATGGTGACAGTTAATACTTCTGTACAGGATATTCCTTCTCATGATACTAGAGTGGAGGCAGAGCTAGCTAAGAACATTGATCAAGACAACATTGTGGATACAGATTTTGAAAAGTTTCAGAATAATGACAAAGTTAACTGGCAAGGAGGCAAGTTATGGTCTGACCAAGCAGAGGAAGATCCAGATGAGGGTGTGATGCCAGCTGTGATGCAAATTGAAGAAGAAAATGGTGGAGATGCAAATGATGAGGTGGATTAAAGTATTAATGGTAAAGCCAAGGGAGAAAGAATCAGTGGTGAGCAGAGTCTAATAAAAAATGTAACTGATGTCAATGAGGAGCAGGCTTATAATGATGAGCAGAATAACAAGGAAGGGAATTTGTTAAAAGGTGTGCCAAGTAAAGAGGTAGACAACAATGCCATTGATCCAGGGGGAACTGAGCAAACCAATATAGTTGAATCTGGTACTACATTAAAAGGAAAGAACTCCAATGCTGCAGCAAAAGCAACAGAAGAGATTATGCCTTTGTATTTAATGTAGCACCAGAATGAGGTAGGGGAGCAGGCAGTAGTTAACATGCAACAAAAAACCAATATGATAGTTACAGGAGGTGACAAAGATATAGAAGGTGCTGAGGGTGCAGGCAAAGATATGGATGAAGAATCAACAGTCCAGAATTTTCAAAAATTAGCCAAACAAGGAGATCTGTCTCCCAGATTGATAGAACAGGTCAAATCTGTAGCCAAGGGCAGGAAAAAACAAGTGAAAGACACCTCAAATGCTCCTGCAGGGTTCAAACAAGGAGAACATTGTCCCTCAATAAATCACACAATCAGTAATAGATGCCATTATATAGAATGTCAGGTCAGTGAATACTATGCAGGCCTTTGAAAGATTGATTACTATGCATAGGCAACATCATTTTGAGTTTATAGGAATTTTGGAACCAATGCAAGAGTCCAGTAAAATGGAAAGGTATAGGAGCATAATAGGTTTGGCTCAGGCTGTGGTTAATGTTTCAAACAAAATATGGGCATTCATTGATGAAGTCTTCGAGGTTACTATTCTGTACAACATGCTGCAACAGTTGACTTTGAAATTATTCCACACTGAAACTCATGTAGAGTTGATCCTTACCTTGGTGTATGCAAAATGTGATAGAATAGGAAGGATAGAACTGTGGGATTCATTGTATACTATGGCTACAGATATGACCTCTCATTGGCTTGTTGGGGGGGATTTTAATGTGATCTGGGATGAGGAAGAAAAATTTGGAGGATTGCCAGTATCTCTAATTGAGGTATATGATTTCAGACATTGTATTAATACTTGTAACCTGACAGACTTGGGATTCAAGGGTAGTATTTTTACCTGGTGGAATGGTAGATCAGAGGATGATTGCATATTCAATAGGTTGGATAGATGTTTGGGTAATATGGAGCTGCAACAAAGTTTCCCAGGATTGGAGATCACTCATTTATCAAAGATTGGATCTGACCATTGCCCAATGCTTCTGAAATGTGACATTGAAACTCCACCTATTAAGAAATCATTCAAATTTCTTAATTTCTGGACAAAAAATGACACCTTTAAAGATGTTGTGAAAGAGAACTGGAATGCAGATTTTAGTGCCAATCCATTTGTAATGTTTAATCATAAGCTTAAAAAGTTGAAGAAAGTGCTCTCTACTAGGAGCAGATCAACATTTGGAGATATTTTCCAAAAGATTGCAAGCCTTGAAGAAGTGGTCTTAGTGCATGAGAGACAATTTGAAGCATATCCTACTCAGCAGAATAGAGAGAGGCTGCAGAAAGTTCAAGCTAAAATGATTAGATTTTTGGCAATTGAAGAGGAATTTTGGAAGCAAAAGTCAGGCATAGCTTGGTTCAAGGATGGGGATAGAAATAATAAGTTCTTTCATGCACAAGTTAAAGGGAGGAGGAAAAGGTTACAGCTCAATAGAATCAAGGATAACATGGGCAATTGGATTGAAGAAGATGAGCACATTGCTGAGGAAGCTGTTAGATTTTACCAGTATCAACTCACTCAAACAGTAATTCCCAGTGATTTTCGTATTATTGATCATGTACCTTGACTAGTTGAGGAAGAACGAAATACAAAGCTGACAACAGTACCAACAAGNAGTTTGCATATTTCATCATTTTCAAGGAAAAAAAATCTGTTTTCTCTGAATTAGTTGTTAGTTTTATTCCTCGCCCGTGTCCAATTTGCCCGAACTACGCATACCTGATTCTCGTCTTTCGGGGCGTTATACGTAGGCAACCCACATAGGGTCCGGTCTTCCTAGTAAATCTTAGGTTCTTGGCTTTGCGGGGTCTTAGCCTAATTTTACACTTCTAGCTACCTTTTGGCTAAATAAGTCATTTTGCCCATATCTTGCATGTGTCTAATAGAGAATGTTATTGTCTCACATAATATTGGTTTAAGTTTTCTCATACAGGTGTGAATTTACTAACCGGAGTTTGAGCAGGACAGATACCCCAGGACCGTTGCATTCAGGAGTTGCTTAAGGAGATTTATTTTTATTTTAAGTTATTTTGAGTATGTTTTTTTTATGTCGTCTTTTACTTTCTATTTTTGTACAATAATGTCCTGTTTTTTGTTATTTTGTAAAGGCATGGTGTAACTCAAAAATCCAAAAAAAAAAAAAAAAAATGTTGCATTTCATATTTCCGTTATAAGTTTTCTTTAGAATACTAATTCTAGAAATGAAAAAAAATTGAGGTTGTTTCTCCTTTAGGTAATTAATATCTAGGACTTAAAATGAATTATTTTTATGTTTCCTTTAGTATATTAGGACCAAAATTCAAAAAAAAAAAAAGAGAATTTTCTTTTAGTACTTCTCTAAAAGCTTTCCTTAAGGTGTTAATTTCAAAACCCAAAAAGATTTTCTTTTGAGGTGTTTCTTTGGAAAATTAGTGGAAAAAAAATTCTTTTTATTTTCATTAGAACTTTAGGATATTGTACATAGAAAAAAAAAACTTTATTTTTTGTTTATCATTAGAATTCCTGCTTTAGGCAATCAAAATTAAAAAAAAAAAGAAGCATTTGGTATTATCTTTTTCATTGCTTGTTTCGAAATCTTGCGTCAGGACATCAAATGAAAATTCGAAATGCTTTTCTTTGGTTTATTGTTCGGACTTCATTTCAGAAAAAAGAATCAAAAAATATTTTCTTCTTGTAGGATTTTTCCTTAATAATTTCCCATAGAGTGTTTGTTTCAAAAAGAGAAAAAAAATATATGCTCGTTAAGCTTGAGTTTAGAATAGGTCATAGAACAGTAAGTCTAGAAGATCAAAAAAAAAAAAAAAAGAGGATTTGCTTCTTCATTTCTCTTTTCTCATCAGAGTAGTCATTAAGGCAAAAAAGAAGAAAAAAAAAAGAGGAAAAAAAAAGGAGAATGTTGGTTTGTTTACTTTATTCCCATTTTTCCAGAACTACGCAAAGATCTGATTCATGCGGGGTCATGATACGTAGGCAACCTACATAGGGTTCGATCGAATCATTTTTTTTTATTTATTAAAAGAAAAAAAGAAAAGGAAAAATGGAAAAAAAAAGAGAGAAAAAAGAAGAAGAAAAAGGGGTGAAATCATGGGATGTCAGAAATGAGAGGAAAGAAAAGAGTGATAATTAGAAGGGAAAAGAGGAAGGAAAATAAGCAAGCAAATGCTAGAAAAGCAGAGAAAAGAGAGATTGAAATGAACAAATTGGGATGATCCCAACTGACCTTTGTACCCTCGAAGTCATTTTAGAACCGATAACTGTGGGTAGGTGCATTGCACGTAAAGTGAGATTACCTTATGTTAAATGCCCTAACGCTAACGTGATGGTTTCATTTTGTCATGTAGTTCCAGCAAGGTGGTTGGTTTGTGATTTTAAAGTGGTAACTCTGCTTCACAACACAAGGACAAGAGGTAATGGCAAACAACAAGAGAACTGAGTTGGTTGACACCGGTGTTCGACAATAGTTGGTGGAACGGGATAATGGGTTGGTTGAAGAGGTGCGGATGCTGAGACAACACATGACAGACATGTATCAATCTTGGATGACTGGAAAGGCACCACCCCCGCCACCACCAATTTTCCCGGACACTACCCTTACCCAAACTCCCAACATAATACTAGATGATCCTCCATATTCTCCGGATACACCCGCTTATAACACTCGCCCAAACTACCCTAGTAGCTCCATCGCTCATCCTGCAGTCACTTCTCCCCAATATTGCCCTCCTGTCATATCCATTACCCTAGACAATGAATACCCACCCAAAGCGCGTAATGCCCGATTTCACCCTCCAGAGGTTGCCCACAGGGTCTTTGATCCATACAAGAAGAGCTCCCGGGATGAGCAGATTCATGGTAGAAATGAAAGGGTTACGGGAAGAGCAGGGCGAGATGAGGTACCCAGGAAGTGGACAAGCACAGAACAGCCCTTAAGGGACAAGCGAAGAGTGGGAGGTCAGGGTAGCATGACTTGCAAGAGACTGATTGTGCCACATGACACCCGCCTGCCCGCAGGATTCAAAGTACCAAACTTCAACTTGTATGATGGGCGTGGAGATCCGGTAGCCCACCTGAGGGTCTATTGCAACGAAATGAGGATTGTTGGAGAGAAAGATGACGTGATGATGGCATATTTCAGTGAAATCCTAACTGGGGCAGCTTTGGACTGGCATGGTCGTCAAAATGTCGATGAGTGGCTTACATTTGGTGACATGGCTCAAGATTTTGTCCGATACTTTAAATGCAAATCAAGTGTTTCCCCAGACCGCACCTCGCTATATAAGATGGAAAAGAGGCCGGAGGAAAGCTTTAATGAGTTTGGGCTCAGATGGAGGGAGCAAGCTGCTCGAGTCAGTCCCCCGATCAGCGAAGAAGAAATGGTTAAGCTTTTTCTACAGGCCCAGGGACCCACCTACTACAGTCATTTGATCCCGGCCCTGGGTAAGCCTTTCAATGATGTGTTAAAAATGGGGGAGCTAGTGGAAGAAGGAATCAAGTCAGGCAAAATCGTGAGTTGTTCGGAAGCCATTCAGAATGTACCAGTAAGCTTGGTTGGAAGATAGAGGAACAGAAAAGACGATCCGATAGGTTTTCCTGATCAATACTTCCAGCCTCGACATCATCCCCGTGGTTATCCTTGTGCATTAGATGGCCCTCCCCGACACTACCTCTCTCCACAGAAATCCCAAAATCGCACATCACAGTACCCAGCTCCTCAAAATGCCCATCTACCCCCGCAAGCTTACCAAAAACACCCCGGATTAGGTTTTCAGCCCAATCCAGCGTTTAAGAATGAGAGGTTACAGAAGAAGAAGACCTTCACTCCATTGGGAGAATCATATGCTAGTCTGTTCCAGAGGCTAAGGACATTGGACATGTTGAAGCCGATTCAGATAAAAATGTCGAACCCTCTCCCAAAGAAGTTTGATCCTTCTCAAAAGTGCGCATATTGCTCAGGTGCCCTGGGGCACGACATAGAGAAATGTTGGAATCTGAAGAATGCAATTCAAAAGCTTATTGATGCAGGCGACATCGTCGTGTAAAATCCAGATGCAACAAACACTGGCCAAGATCCATCTCCTGTGCACAATGAGACGCATATGGTGGGTATGATTGATTGTGAGAATGAGCCGGCAGAAGAAACCCAGAAGCAGTTTGCTCAAAACAACGTGATGAAGTCTTGTGAAAATTCCAGCAATCTTGGTGTGAAATTCAGTGGCTAAGACGCCGTACTTGGTAATTGGGAAGACGCTCCATCTCTGGGAGTTTGGGTGGTTTATTTTGTTGTCATTTCTATTGTCCGGGTTATTTCAGGGTTGTAATCCTGATATTGTCTTGTGACTCAAACCCTTCTATCCTTTCACTTTGTCTTGTTCGTCTCGTCGTAGTAGCTTGTGTAGTGTTGTTTAGGTTTGTTAAAGGGTTGTAACTCTAGTCTAGTTTGCTTGTTTCGTTGTTTAAACCCTTTCACCGTCAATCTAATGCAATTCTCTGTTTCCCGCCATTTCTAGTCATTTTATCTGGTTCCTTTCTCCTTTTGCAATTCTTTTCATGCTGGTTCTGGTGACATGACATGCACGCATAATTCTCAGCCTGGTTTTAAAAGTCAGAAGCAATAAAACAATGTTAAAGATGTAAGGACAGTCGAGGGATTTTGAAATCTCTTCGAGCCCAAATTGTGTGAAACTGGGTCAGACAGAACATAAAGAAATACTGTTGAAATGCATCATGCCACATCGGTTTGAGACCAAAGGCAAGTTTGCCCCCAAGTCTACAGGGGCCGCTCGTGGTACCGAGACTGTTGTCCAAATGGTGCTGGGTAATTGACAAATGCAGAAGGCAAATGTGTGGATATGGTTAGTAATTCTGGTGCAATCAAAAAATGTTACCTATGTTTTCCTCAGTTTGTTTAAATGCGTAGTTTGTACTTGGCATGTTTTGGAGATTGAAATGACGAAGGCATTTTGTTCTGCTATCCACACACTTTATCCTTTGTTACCCCTTTGAGCCTCGGTTATTTTCTTGCATACCCCTCTTTCGGAATCAATAATAAAACTCATAAGCCCGAGCGGGGAAAGAAATGGAGAAACAAGAGAAAAACAGTGAAAAAGGAAAAAGAAAAGAAAAGAAAAGAAAAGAAAAAAAAGAAGAGAAAGGAAGAGAAAAGGAAAAAGAAAAAAAAAGAAAAAGAATAGAGAATAAAAGCATAAAAAAAAGAGAGGAAAGCAAAAGAAAAGAAAAGAAAAGAAAAGGAAAGAAAAGAAATGAAAAGAAAGAAAAGGAAAGTGGAAGAAAAGGAAAGATCGCAACAACGAACGTAGTTTTATGACCTGAACTACGTTTGACTTGATCCCGAAAGGGTGCGTAGGCAGCCTCTCTCTAAGGTTCAGTCACACCGAAATAAAAGTCCAAAGTCCCCAAGGAAGAAACTGGGGCAGAAGTTGTGGTCGTTGCAAGAGATTCGATTCCGGAAGCTGTAATTTTGAACCCATGTTAAATTGTTTTGAGCCTTTAATACCGTTTCTTTCTAACCCTATCCAAAATCCCGCATTACGGTCCAAAGGAAGACCT